ATCAATAACAGAATGCTTTATTAGATTATAAAAATTGTGAAACTTTAAGTACAAGAGAGGGGAGGTAAAATATCTTAACTCCCCCACAACAGAGAACAAGAAAGAAAGCTAAAAAGTGGCCCAAAACAAAGAATCCTTAAGCACCCCTTGCTTGGCTTACCCATCAGCCATAGAATTAGCACTTCTCTTCACCCATCTGTACTTCACCTCAATATCCCTACTCAGCCGGTCAAGGAGTGTATTTTGACAATGACTATTTTGTGGCTGAAATCCTTAAATCTCTTTGAAAATTACTCCTTCGATGATATAATGAGGAATTGGTCTGCAGTTGCCCTCTCTTCTAAGAAGCCTAGAATTCAAGTAACTTGGACTTCGCCGATGGAGGGTTTTGTTAAGCTGAACTCTGATGGGAGTTGTCAGGGTAATCCAGGATCGTCTGGTATTGGTGGTGTACTGAGAATGAGAACAATATTCTTGACCTTTTTTCGGGACCAATGAGAATAGGTGACTCTGTGAGGGCTGAACTCATAGCTGCAGCACAGGGGATACAGATTGCTTATAAACTTGGAGTGCAGAACTTAATAATTGAAGGAGATTCCAAGGTGGTACGAGGATGGTTGGCTGACCCAGGTACTGTTTTAAGGATATTTTAAAAAAGGTTAAATGAATTTCGAGGGATATGGCAGTTAGATTTCAGTGGGTGGGGTAGATCGGCTAATGCCTTGGCTGATTATCTTGCTAAACAAGGGGCTACTCGGGTCTCTTTGTATTGGGCTTCTCTGTAATTTTCTTTGTCCTTTGTTCTGTTTATTAAGTAAAGGGTTGATGGTATCCTCCATCTCCCCTCCTTAAAGGGGAGGTAGCATCTTGTGCCTCTCCCTAAAATGTACTCTCCTTGGCTATGAATTAATAAATCTTACAATTCACTGATAAAAATCCGTATATGATCTTGTTATAAGTTTTGATTTTTTATTCTTTTTTTGAATTACAGGAATTCTGCAAAATCTCGTGAAGGTGCTCTACTGGCATTTGAGTGCCTATGTGAGAAGCTTGGTAGATTATTTGAGCCGTATGTAGAGATCTTTCTGTGTAATGAAAAGTGATTCTACTGAGTGCATATATTTTGATATATCTGAATCTATGTTTTGTTGTCCCAGGTATGTAATTCAAATGTTGCCCTTGCTTTTGGTATCTTTCTCCGACCAGGTTGTTGCTGTCCGTGAAGCTGCTGAATGTGCTGCTCGTGCTATGATGTCTCAACTTAGTGGTCAGGGAGTGAAACTTGTTCTCCCTTCACTTTTGAAGGTGCTTTGTTTTATATTTTTCTTTTTTTTTTTTAAATTTGAAATGAGGTTGGATTGATGCTTTTTAGAGTTGTCTTTTCATATTTTTTATCATCAATACTTTAAGGCACAAGTTTCGTGCTACTGAAAGTAAACTTTCCATGTTCTGGGTAATTGACTGCCCATGGTGTCTTTTACAAGACTTCTGCAAGTTGATGTCAATATTTTGAAAACCTTATCTGCACTGATGCCTGTGGTGCCTTACTTTTCAGTGCTGTCTATATGAAACCCTTAATATGGATGGCACTGAAGAGGACTGGAACTTCACTTTCTATAACCTATATCTCGATCAACTGGTATCTTGAAGTTTTTTTCTTCATCCAGGAATTACAAACTAAGGGTACCTGCAGTTTTCCTTTACTGTTGTTTCGTTGAATGTTTCACTTCTTGCAGCTATATATTCTAAAATGGTCAAATTATGTACTCTTGCTCAGGCTCTAGAAGATAAAGCTTGGCGAACAAAGCAAAGTAGTGTACAACTACTTGGTGCTATGGCTTACTGTGCTCCTCAACAACTCTCTCAATGTCTCCCTAAGATTGTGCCTAAACTTACAGAGGTACATTCCCAGTTTAAACTTTGGTTTTCATTGGGCCTGAATGAGTGGCTACTTATTGAAAGCTGTTTTACATCAATTTGGTAATTGCCATCCATTGTTACAGGTTCTGACAGATACTCATCCTAAAGTCCAGTCAGCAGGGCAGATGGCCCTTCAGCAGGTATTGTTTGTGTATCGAATTACAACCAGTATTGTGTTGTATCCTTATGCTTAGTGCTGATTTTTTTTATTATTTACTTTTTCCTTCTTTTACTAGGTTGGGAGTGTAATAAAGAACCCTGAAATATCTTCTCTTGTCCCTACCCTCTTGATGGGTCTTACTGATCCCAATGATTATACAAAGCACTCTCTCGATATTCTTCTTCAAGTAAGGCTCATCAGCATGCTTTTGTGAACGCTGTCAATCATCCTGGAGTGATTATCTTCCTCAGATGCTCTCATAATGTTTGTTTGTTGGATGCAGACAACTTTTGTTAATTCAATTGATGCCCCTTCACTGGCTTTATTGGTACCTATAGTTCATAGAGGCTTAAGGGAGCGAAGTGCTGACACGAAAAAGAAAGCAGCACAGATAGTTGGAAATATGTGCTCATTAGTAACAGAACCAAAGGATATGATTCCTTACATAGGTTTACTCCTTCCTGAAGTCAAAAAGGTATGTTTTTTAATTGTAGGTGCTGTGCTTTACTTTTCTTTTGTGTTTTAAATATTTTGCTGATGTTGGGAATGAACAGGTTCTTGTGGATCCTATTCCAGAAGTTCGATCTGTTGCAGCCAGGGCTCTTGGTTCTCTTATTAAAGGAATGGGGGAAGAAAATTTCCCAGATCTTGTCCCATGGTTGTTAGATACGCTTAAATCTGATAATAGCAATGTGGAACGCTCTGGAGCTGCCCAAGGTTTGAGTGAGGTTAGAATTTTTCATTGTTTTCATTCTTTATTGAACTTCTCTTTCTTCACTTTCAGTTCATGGTTGTCTTTTATTTCCATTAGTAAGGTTCTCTTTTTATACTTTTGTTTAACAGTTTGCACTGCTCAGGTCAATTAAACTAAGTTTTTTTCCCAATTATATCTTATCTCCATGAAACCTGTTCCATTATTCTACCATATTCAGTTACCATTTCCATTGTTGAATTACAGGCTCTTAAATCATGTTCTCCACTAAAATGTCTGTGCTTTAAGGCCTGCTCCTAGCCCTTCTAGATGATTTTATTTATATTCTTAAAGCCCATTGCTGAATTACGGGTCCTGAAATAATTCTTTACTAGCCAGGACCCGTGCTATGCACTGGCTTTATTTAAAAGCAAAATTGAAGATGTAGCTCTATGACATCTCCAGTTAAACGGTGTCCATCTAAGTTTAATTCAAGTATTTCTTTTTGGGGTTATGTGTAGTTTATCCAATAACAATCTAAGTTGTGCTTTAGTGAGAGTGGCCAATTTCATATTCTCTAGATAAATTTGTATTATTTTTTTTGTATCTTAATGCTACTTTTTATTATTTTTCTAAAAAAGTTTTTTTATTAATTTTTATTGCTTTTCAAAGGAGGAAGCAATATCTTTCCCAAGTCAAAGAATATGGGTTAGAACTGTGCCTTCAAAGATAGCCATCTTTGTTTGGTCAGCAGTGCTGGATAAGATTTTAAGCAAGGACAATTCAGTCAAAATAGGGTTAGAAGTGGTAGTCATGGCATGTCCCTTATGTATTGGGATAGTGGAATCATCTAGTCATCTGCTGTTACACTGCAATTTTGCTCACTGGATATGGTTAAGAGTGGTGGATTTATTTGGTGCTAAGCTATGATCCACTCTTGGTTGACTGTGCACCCGTTGTTTAAAGACAGACATCCAAGTGCTTCTTTTGAGATTAATTTTTTGTTTGTAAGGAGGGAGTAGTTTTTTTTGGATTAGGGGAGCCGTATGGGGCTGTTTTGGTTTCTTTGTGTATCCTCTATTTTTTTTTTCTTTGTATAGGGGTTTTTATTAGTTGATTTTTAATGAAATCACTTTACTTTACAGTTTTCAAAAAAATTTATTGCTTTATTATTATTTTTGTATTATTTTTAGGTGAAATTATAAAAAAAATTCTCTTATAACAATTCTATAAACCGCCTTTGTGTTTTGATCCTAACAAAGGCCTCTCCTATAGTTTTGTGAAAAAAAGTGCAAATGCCTCCTTTCCCATGGCTTTTCGTTAGAAAAGACATTGAAGTTACCAAAACACCCTTCTCATTGTTAATGCATTATCATACATAATTTAAAGTTTGAACTTTACCCTTCACTAATTTATTTTGTCAGGTAACTTTGAAAGAATAATTCTCCTTACTCTTCTTGGACAAAGCAAGGTAAAAAGGAAGCTATTTGCACCTTTTTTTTCAAAACAATAGGAGAGGTTTTTGTTAAGGTCAAAACACTGGGAGTTTCATAGGATTGTTAGAAAATCCAGGGAGGTTTTTTATAATTTTCCTTATTTTTAAATGGAATTTAAGTTGATTTAAAATAATTAAACTATATTTAAAATTAATATTTTTATTAATTTTTGAAATTAGTAAAAATTGAATTTATTTAAGTATATTAATTTTTTATTAAATTTAAATGCCTTATGAAGTTTAATTAACTATTATTGATTTTTTTAAGTAGATCTTAAAAATATATTTTATCAATAACAATATTTAGTAATTATTTTTATTTTATTTAAGCAAGTTACTAAATTATTTTTTTTATAGTTAATTAATTTCTATTATTTTCAAATGGAATATAAATGGGTTACAATTTTAAATGGAAGTAGATTAATTAGCGCAATAATTGTTCGATTTTATTCAAATCTTAGATTGCAAATTTAATTTATTATTCTATCGGTTCACCTTCATGAGATTTACCAAGTGTATCTAATAGATTATTAGGATGAAAGTACTATATTGTTTAGCATGTTTTCCTTTTAGCCATTCACTCTTGCGACTATTAATCCGGATTTCTTGGAAGGAAAATTGTAATTTGACTTGAATTTTTGAAAAAGATATAGGCATGCATAGACATTTTTTTATATCTTCTTGGTTTTGTTATTTTAGTATGGTCAATTGTAGATGGAGAACTACATCTAGACAGGGCTTTAAATGTTWGCATCAGTGGAAACATAAGCCACTGAAATATAGGAAGCATGCCTTGGCCAAAGAGAAAAGGTAGAGTATTGTGGAAGTGTGCTAGGGCTGCTTTGGTTTGGACTGTTTGGGAGGAAAGATATACAGGAATTTTTTGTGATAAGGAGAGGGATGAGGTTAGTGTTTCGGACTATACAAGTATAGAGCCATCAWCTGGGCTAAGACTTTGGACCTCTTTTCACTTTTCTCCTTTGATGATTTATGGAGTAACTAGGAACTTGTTGACAAAGCTCTATTGGTTCCTTCCAACTTAGGTTTTGGGTTTGAGAAGGGCTATTAGGGATTATAGATGAAATAGTACTGTCTCTGGGCATCCTTGATGAGGTGTATGTGGACCCTCCTCAAGCTGATAAAAGAATTTGGACTCCTACTCCTCATGGTTTGTTTAAGTTGTTGAGTGTAGGAAGAGGAAGAAGAAGACGAGGAAGAAAAAGAAGAAGAAAGAAGAAGACGAGGAAGAAGAAGAAAGGTTGTGTGAGAGAATAGGGTGTGTTACTATTCACACCCAAAGTATTTCATTGTATACTAAGACAAAAATTATAGTTATGTGACTAATGTCCCTATATGGGCGCCCTAAATACAAATAATAGAAAAAGGCAACAATACCCCTAAGCCAAATGCACATTCTCAACACTCCCCCTCAAGCTGTGCATAGATATCTATCATGCCTAGCTTGCTCAAGTTTCTTTCAAGTTTTGGCTTGTTGAGACCCTTGGTGAGGCAATGAAGAAGTTGATTCTTTGACCTAACAAAAGGCAGACATATTTCTCCATTGGCTATTTTTCTCTAMTGAAGTGTTTGTCAACTTCATTATGCCTTGTGCGATCATGTTGAATATGTTTATGAGCAATGTTTTTGGCATCTTGATTATCACAGTGTAGAATCATTTGGGTTTCGACTTGCATCCCAATCTCTAATAACAAAGACTTCAACTATAGCAACTTTGATACACCATGAGCCATAGCTCTATATTCGGCTTCAGCACTAGGCCGGTCAACAATGGATTGTTTTCTTGCTTTTCCAAGACACAACATTGCCTCCTACCTGGACACCCCTTTTCCAAGCTCGGTCAACTCGAGCTTGACATGTCTCTGGTTAGTTTATAACATTCCTTTACCTGGACACCCCTTTAGGTAGGCAAGGATCCTATTGACAGCCTGCATATGTGAAGTTCTAGGGCTGTGCATGTACTGGCTCACCATGCTAACGACCAAGGTTTAAAATGTTGATGTTAGTGGAAATGTTAGTCATCCAAATATAAGAAACATGTCAGAAATATCGTATGGAAATATTGTAAAAATTATAGTCATGGTGGAAACATTGTAAAATATGCAAAATATAGAATGATATTTTATCAAATGATAAAAGAAGCATAGGCACACCTTTTTATATTATTGTCTTGTTCTAAATCATTAAACAAAGCTAAGAAACTAAGGTTATAGATAAAAGAATACGTTTTGAAGTTGCCCTATAAACTTTAAGGTTCAAAGCTTCATTAGAATGAGTTAAAGCAAAATTTTAACTCAGAAAATTTAAATGGTTGTAATAGATCAACCAAGTGGTCTATTACACAAACAAAAAACCAATACTTAACTTCATGTTTGAAATGAATATTGAGTTAGCTCAAAGTGGTAGAAAGTAACATTGTTGCTTTACATATCTACAATATCATCACCAATCACTGGGGAATATGTCGATGCTAGTAAAATTTCATGTTGCTACCCAGGGAAGTGGAAATGAAAATATGTCGTGGAAATTATCTCTTGTACTCCACATAGTGCTAGTAGTGTTCAGTGGGGAAAGGTCGATTCCGGTAAAATTTCGTGTCGCTACCCATGGAAATGGAAATATGTTGTGGAAGCATTAGGAAAATTAGGGACATTTTAAACCATGCTAAGAACATAGGATATATTAGGTTGAGTCAGGCACGGGTTAAGAATGCAACCAACAAGCCTCCGATAGACACCATTGTTTGGAAGAATATCTCCATCATCAACACTTRGTTTATGATTGGGGTCAATAGGAGTTTCCTCTGTGAAATGAATATCCCTCCATTTGACCATGCCACTTCAATTCTAAGAAAGTATTCGAGATTCCCAAGATCTTTGATTTCAAATTCAGAAGGTTTTCTTAGACAACAAACCTTCCCCTCACTCTTAGGTAAGATTATCCCTGGTGGTAAATCCATATATACCTCTTCCTAAAGATCTCCATTTAGGAAGTTATTCTTCACATCTATCTGATATAGAGGGCAGGAATAATGAGCAGCAAGAGACATAATGACTCGGATAGAGTTCATTTTGGCCACAGGAGCAAATGTCTCTTGATAGTCAATTCCATATGTTTGGGTTTATTCTTTTGCCACCAACCTAGCTTTGTATCTTTCAATTGATCCATCAACCCGATGTTTAATGGTATTTACCCACTTGTAGCCCACTGGGACTTTGCCTTAAGGAAGAGGAACAAGCTCCCAGGTGTTGTTTTTTAAGAGAGCCTCTATCTCTTGGTTCATAGCATCCTTCCACTGAGGTGACTAGACTACATCTGTAACATTATGAGGTGTGCTACAAGGAGCAGGATATGACAGTTAATACAGAAAACCAAGCAATGCTACAAGGAGCAGAATGTGCCAAAGAATTTTTTTTTTGATCAATAATCACAGAATTCATTAAATAATGGAAAAAAGTTACAGGGAAGAGGAGCTAAAAATTCTTAACTCCCCAGAATAGAGATACATCTGATTTAAACACTCA